ACCACACACACCACACACCACACACAAACACCACACACACACCCCACACACACCATACACACCACATACATCACACACCACACACCACACACACCATATACACCACACACAAACACCACACCACACACACACCACACACACCACACACCACACACACCACACACACCACACACACCACACATCACACACACCACACACACCACACACACCACACACCACACACACCACACACCATACACACCACACACCATACACCCCACACACCACACACACCACACACCACACATCACACACACCATATACACCACACACACACCCCACACCACACACCACACATCACACACACTATATACACCACACACCACACATCACACACACCACACACAATACACATACCACACACACGCCCCCACACACCACACAAACACAACACACATAACACATACCACACACACCGCACACACACCCCATACACACACCAAACACACCACACACACACATGCCCCCACACATACCACATAACCACACACACACCCACACACACAAACCACACACCAAACACGCCACACACACACACACACCACACACACCATACACCCCACACACATACCACACACATTACATGCACCACACACACACACCACACATACGACACACACCACAAACACACGCCACAAACACACCCATACACACCACGCACACCCCATACACACACAACACACAACACACATCACACACACGCCCCCACACACCATACACAACACATACAAACACCATACCACACAGACAAACCACACACCACACGCCCCCACACACACACCACACACACACAAACCACACACACCACATGCCCCCAAACACACACCACACACACGCCCCCACACACAGCACACACACAACACACATAACACACACTCACCACACAAACCACACACAAAATACACACACATGCCACACACACACACAGAACACACACCACACACACAGCGCGCGCACACACACACACCCCCCATGCATTGCAACTCAAATCAAAACAAACTGTGGCTGATGCTTTCTGTGATGGGGGAGTTTTTAAAAGTGGAAGAGCAAAGGATGAAAACATTTATTCTGATGGAGAGGTTTGGGGAACCCCTGAAAAATTGAGAATAAGGCACTCAAGATGGAAGGCGCAGCCCAGGCATAGAGGCAGGGAAATGATCTGGGAATAGCAAGAAACCAGTGACTGAAGGTGAGCATGCGTTGGGACCCCTGGGGGGATGTGACAAGCCCCTGGAAAGTAAAAGCCTCAGTTCTTCCCCAGGTTCACGGTCCCCATGCTGGGTTCCAAAATCAGAGGCAGCGGAAGGGCTAGAGGATCTGCTGGTGAGGCTAAGCCTTTGCATGAATTTGAAGGGCTTGCCTGTTATCACTCTTCCCCACAGGTTGAGGAGCGTCAAGATGGAGCAGAGGAAGCTAAGTGACCAAGCCAACACACTGGTGGACCTTTCCAAGGTGAGTGGCAATGTCTGGAGACATCCCCTAGAACGTGCAGACACCGAGTCTTCTCAGGCTCACCTGTGAGTCCTGGCTGGGTTTGCACTGAACAGAGCAGGACCAGGCAAGCAAAGACAAATTTCTGCCTGGTTCAAAAATACCTATGCTCCAGTTTGTTCCATTTGCAATCTACCGGTATGTCTTGTGGTCTTTTAAAACTTGGCATTTGTTTTTTAAGTGAAATCGCTCAGGTGTGTCTTTGCGTGGAATGAATGAGCTGACCGAACCTTTCCTGTGTCATTTTATGAGCTGCACACTGAGGGACTCCTGAGGTTGGGCTTGAGTTTGCACGGCTGTGAAGCATGCTAGCAAGGACCAGACGGTGACGATAGCCATGCTGACTGCCCAGGTCACACCGGTTTGCTGTGATACTTGGAACTTCATTTTTGTGCATCCTGCAATCCTTAGCAACCAGTTTTTCTGGCCTCAAATTGGTGGCAGTGGTGTGTGTGTAGGGGTGCATTTCTTTACTTCTCAAGAGGCAGATAGCCTACAAGGAACATGAAGATACCCAAAGAGAGAACCCTCCTTTGAGAGTCCTAGGGCGTGAGGCTCGCCATCACTCTGCCGCTCTGTTTCTGGCCCTGAGCTGCCATAAATACTGTAAAGAAACTCTGTCCTCTTGCAAATCACCCAGGTGAGGGAGCTGAAGGCCACACTGCTGGCAGAGCTGAGAGTGGGTGCCACTGAAGAAAGGGCTTCCCCCACCTCAGCCCACTCTCCTCATTGCCTCTTGATAGGAATTGTATATTAAGCGTACAGCCCAGGGCCAGGCTGGCAGAACATTCCAGCAGATGTCAATTATCATAATGGAACACATTCCCTGGGTAAGCAAGAGAAACTCCCTCAGGCACATTAAGCACCCTTTGAAAAGAGTGCAATCAGAGAAATCACTAGTTGTCGGGCCACGTGCAGGCGCCTTGTTTAATAAAGGGATTGAACAAAAGAAAGGGCCTCCTAAACCTGTGAGGACTTCAGTCGGGGAGTAAGCGGCTTGGCACAGTTGGGGAGAAGCCTCCAGGCCTGCGTGCCTTTGGAGGAGGGCGTTCACGTGGAGTGCAGGGTGGTTCCTAGGAGCCTGCGGTGGGAGTGGAACGTGGGCATGCAGGAGAGAACTCCCTCAGGTTTTTGGGTGTGTTGGTTTTAATATCAGAAACCTGCTGGGACTAGGTTTAAAAATGGAGAAATCTATTCTAAGGATATAAGGGAGTCTCATTCCAGGCAGAACCTCAAAGGAGACATGTGGCCAGACTGCAGGAAGGAACTGACTTGAACCAGACCTGGGAAGCCCCCACAACCAGGAGGTCTCTCACCATCGCTTCTGTCTCTTTCTGTACAAGTGACTGCTTCAGTTCTCTCTCCGTCTCCCTGTCTCTCTCTTCCTCTCCCTCTCTCTCCCTCTCGTTCTCTCCCTCTATGCCTCCCGTCCCCACAACAGACTGTAACAGGCTCCAATTCAGAGAGTACATATGATAGTTTTAGCCACAGGTAAAGACTAATTGGCCCCCTACTAGTCTTAATTCTAAATTCTCAGAAGAGAAGAAATGATTGGCCAGTTTGGGCCATGTATCCACCCTGGGACCAATCAGCATTGGCCAGGAAGAGGGTCATATGGAGCAAACAGGGCTAGAGGCCCACCTGTGAGCTTCAGGAACAGCCCAACGAGATGCCCCAGGATGTTTCTTGTATGAGGAGCAGTGTTTCCTGTCTCTCCTCTCACCTTGCAGGACACGCTGTGACTGATGTTCCCTGGGGACATCGGGCAAACCCAACTTTCAAACCTGCATTTCTGCAGTGCCACCCATGGCCTCTCGGAGAGATGGGGCCCACAGAGCAGACTGGGTGAAGCGAACCCCTCAGGGAACTGGAAAGACACTCCTGTGAGTTGGGTGGGGGAACTAAGCTGTAAATAACCCAGGAGCAAGTTACCTGGAAAGAAAGAGTGTGCAGGAAAGAGTTAAGGGAAAAAATCTGCAGAACCCCCGTGGGGAGATCTGGGGAGGAGGTGAACTCTGACATTCGCCCAGTCTTTGTCTTTTCCTCCCAGGAGACTCACCCAAGGTCCTGGCGGCAGCTTAGCACACTTCACACTGGTCCATATTCCCCCTGGCATCCTGTCACCAAGCAACGGAACAGGGGGAGACGATAACGCCGTGTTCTCTCTCTTTTCTGTCTTTGTGCTGTAGCCTCCCAACTCAGCGCCTTCCCACTCCTGCCCTTTGGTCCTCTCTAAATTAAGAATATGGCACGTGGCCTCCACATATTATGTCTGTATTGAATTGCTGTCCTATAGGCTGGCAGAACTGGGAGGGCTTGGAGTCTTTCCCCGATTGCTTCAATTACTTTAGCTGAAATATAAAAATAATTCCTACCATCGGAGGCTCAGGTGATCGAATAAGATGATATCTGTGAAAATGCTTTGTAAACTATAAAGTTTTGCAAATGGTAGTTCTGATTATCAATATAGATGAGGAAACCAAGATCCAAACGAACAAAGTGACCATCCCACAGACAGGCAGTTGGTGAGCACCAGCGCAGGGGCCACGACCCAGAGGCTTGGACTCTGAGTCCAGAGCTCATCAGGGTACCCCTGTGGTCAAATGAAATGGGTGATTTTGCACATTCCGGGAAGAATGTGCGCCTCGAAGGGGTTCTGTCATGTTGATTAATAAAGGGAGTACTTTCACTTCTAAAGTCGTCCTGTCCTCCAAGGGCATCCACAACACAGTGTCCTGCTCTGGCCACAGCGGAGCTCATGGGGGCAGGGCCATCTCCATGCCACCTCGTGACCTTTCCTTATGCTGCCCCAGTGATTTCCCCGTGGGGCCTGGAGTCTGCTGGGGAGGCCTCACTGCATTTTGCATCCCTGCTCCCCTTCATTCTTCTCTAGCTTCTCACATCTTCTTTTACTCCTCTTTTTTCCTCTCACCTTACTTGCTGCTGCTTTGGTCCCTGGGGCATAAATTGTTTCCACGTCTTCCTAGAGTAACCTGAAATTTCAGGTGAAATAGGACTGGGGTGTCACCGGCAGATCACCAGAAACCCAAAGAGCCACAGTACCTCAGGGATGACCAGGCGACCACCAGCCTGGCCCTCTGCATTGCCGCCCTAGGAGCCTCACTCCCTGACACGTGGGAGGCTGAAGACGCCCATGAATCTTGTTCCCAAGTCTGATGTACACAGCCAAGATGGCATTTGCTAATTTGCGGGGAGAAAAATATCTGTTGCATAGACTGAGAGTCTGCAGACCAACAAGGGGGCCACGAGATGTTGGGGAAGGAGCACTGGTAATCGGTCGGCACCCCTGGAACACGGAGAGTCAGTGCTGAATGCAGGAGGGGTACTGGGGAGCTCTGCGGGGAGCACCCTCAGGACCCCTGCCAAGGAGTGAGGGAAGCAGGATCGGTCAGAGGGAGAGTTTGAACTGGGATAGAGTCAACAAAGACCTCAGCCCTTCAGAGTGGCCCTTCAGGGACGTCCCACCCTGAGGCATTGTGGATCAGACAGGGGAAAGGCCACACCTTAGCAAGGCAGCCCCTTTGGCTAAGCACTGTGCTTGAGAGTTAATTCACTTTACTTCCTGGCTGCTGTGTTAAAATAGAGGTTGGGAGATGTGCAGTAACTCCTAACTGTGTATAGTTATTATTAACTCCAATTGTATAAAGCAGTTGAGATTGAGAAAGGCCAGGCGCCTGGCAGAGGGCTCACTGTTAGTGAGCTGCAGATGTGTACTTGAGCCCTGGCCTACTAATTATACACCCACTGCACTGTCCATTCCCCACCAGTGTCTTCTCTGGAATCATTAGATGCCAGCAGCCACGTGAGCTGAGGGGTTGTGGCCCTGTCTCTAAAGAGACAATTTAGAGACTCACTTTATTTAAGAAAAAAAGGGGCCACTTTATTCCCTCTCGGCGCATATTTTCTAATAAAATGCTGTCATTAATACTCATTATTTTTGTAATAAGAAAACGCAAATGTGCACACTTCAGCCTCCTTGTCCCCAGGAAAGAAGCCTGTATCCTTCCTTGACCAGATCAACTGGTGTGGAAGTGGCTCCTGTCATACTGTGGAGGGCATTTCATTTCTCCCATTGCAGATTCCTCTGTGATGACCTGTCATCTCCCTGTCTCTCGCCTCTCTCTCTCCACACAGATGCAGAATGTCATGTATGACTTAATCACGGAACTCAATGACCGGAGCGAAGACCTGGAGAAGCAGATTGGCAGCCTGGAGTCAAAGCTGGAGCATCTCACCGCTAGCTTCAACTCCCTGCCTCTGCTCATCGCCGACACCCTGCGCCAGCAGCAGCAGCAGCTCCTGTCTGCCATCATCGAGGCCCGGGGTGTCAGCGTGGCAGTGGGCACCACCCACACCCCAATCTCCGATAGCCCCATTGGGGTCAGCTCCACCTCCTTCCCGACCCCATACACAAGTTCAAGCAGTTGCTAAATAAATCTCCCCACTCCAGAAGCATTACCCATAGGTCTTAAGATGCAAACCAACTCTCTCCTGGTCGCTTTGCCATCAAGGAACATTCAGACCAGGGAACGGAAAGAAGAGAGACCGAGCTAATTAACTAACTCATGTTCATTCAGCGTGCTTGGTCCGACATGCCTTGAAACCAGAAATCTAATCTCTGTTTAGGTGCCTCTACTTGGGAGCGGGAAGAGGAGATGACAGGAAGCGACGCCTCTGGCAGGGCCCTTGCTGCAGAGTTGGTGGAGAACAGAAATCCACGCTCAATCTCAGGTCTTCACGCGGGGGGTGGGGGTCAGATGCACTGAAGTAGCCAACAGTGAAGCCAGTCCAGAAGAGGGGTCCCCTGGGAGAGGGGGGGTCGTGTCAGGCTTGGGGGATGGGCTCTTCGCCATGGGGGTCTTTGAACACACCTCTCTCCTTTCCTTTTGTCTACGGAAGCCTCTGGGTGACAAAAGTAAAAGAGAGCTGCCCACAACTTGCCAAAACAGATATACCCAAATCAGACTGAGAAAAAAAAAAAAAGACACAGACAAATAAAAAGCCAGATTTTCCACTCAATATTAATACCCACATAAACCTGTGTGTTTGCAAACGTGTACATGTACACACATACACATCCCACATTCGGTTCACGTCCTTTCTTATTTGAGCTTAATCCAAATAAAAAAGGACTTGACACCTTACCTTACACACAATAGGTACCCCTTACATGTGTGTTGAGTTGGTTTGAATCTGAACATGGGGTGCTTTCAGTTCAGGTAGTTAGCTAGTTCTGGCCACATTCTGAGTCTCACTGAAGATGTGGGTCCCTTCAGACATATTGCACATTGCTTTGTCCTGGATATGCACCTTGCTTGATTTGAAATGGATGCCAAGCCAAAATTGTTGGCATTCAGGAGGGATAAGCAAGCTTCTAAAAATAACAGCATCTGCAGAGTTTTCTTCTTCCATCCAAACAAGCTGTGTTTTGATGGACCACAATGACTAGGTGTATGTCTGTATGTGTGGAGGGAGAGGACAAGAAATTGTGCGTGTGTGTGCAGACATGCACAAACAGGAGCAACCCCATAACACCTTAGTGAATAGAAGTATGGTTTGGGGATTTGCTGAGCTGTATTTATCCAGCAACAGGTTTCCAGCCCCAGATGTTAGAAGTGCAAAAGGGCCAAGTGCCTCACTTGTGAGCCTCTGAGCTAGGAGAAGAAGTGATGAAGAGTGGCCCATGTGGTCCCTTCTACCTGACCTTAAGTCATCTCAAAATGAAATATTGTGAGAATGAAGGGAACCCTTAGGGAACCTTATGGGTAAGGTAAGAGGACATGGATTTGTCAGTAGACTGTTCCTACTGTGCCATGTTAATCTTGGTGCGAAAAACTATTCCAATACATCTCAAACTCCAAGAGACTTCAGAAACATCAAGATTTAGTGTAGCGAGAGGCACTGAAAAATGTTTTCAATGCTCCATAATCTGACCACATGTAACATTTGTGATGTGAAAACCATCACTTTCTCATTCTGAGGTCTTTGGTTTCTGCCTATGGGAAATTGAATGGCACTGTATGGAGTATTTCATCTGTTGAAGGTAAAACAAAAGAGTGGTTTTTTTGCTTGTGGTTGTCATCTTGGGTTTACCTTTGTAAGAAGACATCATCACCATTCTGAAGGCAGTGGCTTGGCATGGAGATTTTTCTTCTGTAGCACTGGGCCTGTTCTTCTAAGGACAGCACAAGGTAGACAACTGTCGAGCCAAGGCCACTCTTTCAGGAAGATCTAGTCTGTTGCTCACCTTCTTCTTCCGTCTCTTGCTATTGCTGCTGCTCCTTTGATGGTTTATAGTCTTAATGGCTTGCCTTGATAATTCCTTTGAACACTTTCATTAGTTGTTTTGCATACCAGAGATGCCACACCTGCTGTTGGCTTATTTTTTTACTTGTTCTTTTAACTGTTGATTATCTGAACGTTTCCCCTCCTCGTTTTATGTCCCAAGAATGGTGCTCTTGTTTTCAGTGACAGTTCAGCTGAACATATAAGCAGATGTGTAAACAGATGAAATAACCATGCAGTTTCCTTGTGGCATTAGTTCCATTTCACAAAGTGAAGACCACTGGTGGGCTGATCTGAGTGTGCCAATCCTGATGATTTAAACCTGCAGCCTTCAACTAGTGATTCCTATTCACCGTTTTCATTCTGCTGTAACCCTGTGATATGTGTGTGTGGGGGTGTGAGTGTGGGTGTGTGCACATATAGAGATTTAGTCTTAATTTCAACCAGATGACATGCAAGATTCCACTGCCATTCTTCCTGGCCAAAAGTGCGCATCGACTGTGATTTATTCATTGTGGTCTGCAAATAATTCTTCTTTAACCCATCATTGATACTCTCACTTAGCTAAACCCTAAAGACCAAACTAGCAACACTAGTCAAGGGAGTGATTGGAGTTATTTCTGGTAGCAGTGGCCACTGGCATCCTAGAAACACATGGACATTTGTAGCATGAATTGACCTATTGGTAGTGCAATAGCTATACATGATTTTTATTCTTGCCAAAAGAATACTTATGCTTCCAAAAAAAAGTGATCGAACCTGCACATTGATCCTGTAACAGCAAATGGAAGGCTATTTCTCTGTATTAGCATTTCAGCTTTATGTGGGAAAGTTACCTGTTCTCCTGCAAGTACAATCAACCCTTGATGACTTAAGTATTAATTATTCTGGGTGTAGCTCACCCAAGTTTTCTTCCTACATCTTTTGGCTAATTCCACCACACCTCAGCATCACAGTCAGATGGGAAAAGGGGCAGGTGGATTCTCATGTCATGCCTTCTGGTACCGTATTTTCACATTTTGTGGTGGAGGAGATTTAATAATCTGCTCAAGAACTGGGTATACATAGCCAGGTGCGGTGGCTCACGCCTGTAATCCCAGGACTTTGGGCAAGGTGAGAAGATCACCTGAGGTCAGGAGTTCAAGACCAGCCTGGCCAACATAGCAAAAACCCATCTCTACTAAAAATACAAAAATTAGCTGGGTGTGGTGGTGGGCACCTGTAGTCCCAGCTACTTGGGAGGCTGTGGCAGGAGAATCACTTGAACCCCGGAGAAGGAGGTTGCAGTGAGCCGAGATTGTGCCATTGCATTCCAGCCTGGGTGACTGAGCAAGACTCCATCTCGAAAAAAAAAATCAGCTATATGTAAAAACTATTAATTATGGTAACCTCACTCCAATACTGTACCGATCAAGATCTGCCCACTCCTAGATGACTGACCCAATGGCAGATTCCCTACTATAATCTTTCTGACAACTCAGTGACAGGTAAAATCACTCTAATATTCCCTAAAATATCTAGACACTTGAATTAGAAATATGGAGCCACCCCCACCCCCGCCATTGCTTAAGCCATATTATAGCTTCATGTACTGTAAAGTCAGGGATGTACTGTGATACTTTAAGACCACTAATCTCAGTGGAATTTCAGGACATAGCATTAGTTGGTAAATTACACCAGACTAGGGGCTCACTCCTCCTTAGATTGAAGTCCAAATAAAAGTCTTCACCTTTGGATCAAAGGCCACATATATATGATCATCATAATAAATTGTCATAAAGTGTCTACAAACCGCTCTTGCCATCTTCCTAATACATAACTTCATGATATCATGTCTCTAGAAGTGCTTAATACAATCCAAAAGAACAAGAGGGGGAAGGCCCCAAGTCACCACTGACCGACCTCAGCAGGGGCCAGTGGTAGAACAACAATCTTGTGAATTAGGAGACATAGAAAATGCACGCAAAAGTAAATTCCAAGCGCTGAGCATGTACAAGCTATTTTTATTATTAAAAGCCAAGAAGGAAGAGCATTGAAGAAGTAATGATTTTAATATATTGGGGGATTTCCCCCTTAAATTTTTATAATTTCCTTATGAATAAACAATCATGGAAAAGAAGAAACCTAGTCATACAAAATCAGAATAAATAAAAATCTAAGACTGGATCCACATCTTTGGCCAATTCATATAAGCACCTCATACATCAATTTCTCTGTACTTAAAAAGAAGAGAATAGTTAATATTCTTAAGTACAAAGTATTCAATACAGAACAAATGAAATCACCTTTGTCATCAACAGCCACCCAGACTGATTGTGTCTAGTTCACACCTCGATGTTACGTTTGAATGCAATCAATTGTTACCAAAAAGTAATTAGTGCATATTAAATAGTGGTAAAATCAGCAGGGAGAAATATGGGATTAGCACATAGTTCCAGAACCTTCCTCCTCCTCCAGAGTGCAACTCAACAAACAGTACACTCCAAATTAAGAATCAGTGTTTCATCCCAGGACAAACGGTGTTGCTCCCATCACAGTATCACAACTGAGATACTGTGAAGTCATTGCACTACCAGTAGGTTACTACTATTTTTAAGTTACTGTTTTTAAATCCTAAAATATGTTTCCAGTTTTCTACATTCATTCTTCTTCCCCGAGAGTTGCTAGAAGCAGAGGAAGGATCCCTATTGACTCTGCAGGGCTTGATTTCAGTACCTTAGACAGCTATCTGGTGACTTCCCGGTAGGCACGAACAGCCCCTTCTCTCCCCTTGCAGTCAGTGGGCTTGATGATGCCCCAGACAGTATCCTTTCCTTCTCTACTGCCGCCAAAATCAACATTAGGGAAATGGGATCATTAACACCACTGAGAAAGAAGTTTACAGGGATAGCAATAGTAACTGTCTGCTTGTGGTAGTAGAAAGCTTGTGTCAGGCTGCATGAATAGAAATTAACGTTAAACTCCTGTTAAACAAGTAATATGTAGATTTTTATTGAAACAGACCACAGCTTATTAAAAAGTACTCAGCGCAATGGTATATACATATATACAGATAGAAGAAATATAACTGTGATCTTTTTGTTTTACGCCATTACTGGAAACACCCAAACATGAACTGGAGTTCCCTCTGAACAAAACCATTGTCAAATCTTCAACATATGACCTCCAAATCTAGGTGCCAAGTGCCCTGTGACAGTTGTTTACACACCTGAAAAATGTATCCTGGAAGCTGTAATCTTGGGCCTGGGCTATGTGTTGAAACAAGCAAAAGAGATATCGTGACCAACCAAACTGGTGGAGGAAAAGCACAAAATTCAACACCAACCTGCAGTTAGGATCCCAAAGAGATGCTGACATTTATAGCCAAAAAGAAAAAGTACAAATATATATCTGAATCGGATCGAAGCAGCCAACGTCCAGCTTCACACAAGAAGGACAAGGAATAAACAACATTCTCTAGCTGTGTCATATTGTCTCAATTTTTGAATCTGACCCAAGACTGATCCACCTTCATCAGATACGTTTTTTAATGGCGCAACAACTCAATTTTGGTCCCAGACTCTCCATTCTGCACTGGCCACGAGAACAACAAAAGAGAATGACAGGATGTTAATGGAGGAAACATTTTCATGGCAAGCTCAGAAACTGAAGTGTTTATATTCAGAATCAGATGAGCTTTAATAT